TGAATACAGATCGGTCAGTAGCTCGACTGCTGGATATCTAGTAAATCCTAGTTGTGTGCCCCCAGCTGGATCCTCATTCAAAATTATTCATAAGGACAAACTGGTCCGGAAGAAAGTCTAATAAGAAACTTGTGCACAGCGGAGGCTTTGGTGACTCATCAATTCAAGCCTCATCTTAGCGTGCAGGAACGGTATGTCCAATCCCTTAGTTTACCATGGCCCCAACACTCCTTCATATTTTGTTAGATAATTCTTGACGTGATCATTTTCTTTACTTCGTTTTCCCGTACTGTTCAAGTAAACAATTAACTCTAATAACGCTCATCCAAATCTTTGTCTTTCTCATAGTCATTATACATCGTTTTTATGTGACTTCGTTCTCACTACCCTTTGACTATTACGTAACCTTCAATTCTGACCAACTTTTTGTACCTTTGTTAGTGAGGCAATAACGATCTCTTTTTGTCGTTAATATGTTTTGTGACCCGCTAAGCAATAATCATATCCCCAGTTACCAATTAGAGTACTAATTCTAAATTGGTCTGCTATTCACTCCTGTTCCTTAGTGTCTCTGAACAGGCCGATTACACTCCCAATCAGGACTATTGAATTTAAGCTGGATCCTATTGATCCTCTATTCGCTAGCTCCCTTCTATGCCCAGCTTTCAAGTTCAGAAGTAGTAATCAGCCTTTATTAAATCTACATTTCCAACAGATGTGATTTATATACAGAAATATCGGACTGTACCATACCGTAAAATGAAAAATAACACATATGCATAAACAAGCCTGAAGTGGTTATGAATAGAGAATACTGTGAGTGATAGGCTGACAACAAATTAGAAATAGTAAATTGTGTAACCGTATTTAATGGGTCAGCCGAAAGCCTATGATAAAAGGAATACATATACATAGTGGTCTAGCTATTCAGTAATTATACAACAAAATTACACTTAATAGTAATCCAAAAAAAACCAGTCCCAACGTCTACAATTTCCGTTACAACAATTATAGACCATGTATAGAGAATATATGTATAATCTAAGTAAGAATGTACAGCTCTAGTGAAGGATACCGTCGAAAAGAAAATTTTCGTCTCCACTTTTTACAATCCCCCACATTCCATTCATACAAATATACACATTAGTCACCTGAAAATAGGTTTGAGGGGAACTTTGTTTCGCATGTTGGAGACGTTCTGTGTGATCAGTCTTTTCTGAAGTGAATGGTACATAAAGTCTACGACACTAAAGGCTGCTATCGCAGAAATAATCAGAGGTTGGACACTTTCAGATTTGGCTTAAGCCAGCTTTTCAATGCATTGAGAGAGGGGAACACTATCAGAGAAAACATAATCAGAAACATTCTCTGTAATCTCGTTAGGAACTATTTTATTCACTTTTGATTTATTAGTATGGCTTGGGATTGAAAAAGAGCACTTACCCAGGAATTGTTGACTTCTTATAATCACCGTAAAGGGATGGTGAACAAGGTCTTTATTTTATTGGATGACAGGTAGCACTGATGGGTGAAAAACCATTAACTACTAGTGGGGTATGAATATTAAAACTACAGTAGTGTTAATCAGATTATATCCAATAACCACGGTCATTTTTTAGCACTAGTCCATTATGAACTGGTGCTTTTGCCTACCAAAAGTTAGTTACTCCGTTTTGAACTTTTTTTAAGACTTGAGGACCCGATCGATCTCTTATTTATTCTGTAGTTGGGTAGACAAAAAATCGAAAAATAGCTATAATTGGAGTTTTCCGAAGTGACCTTTCACCAACCCAGCCATTTGGTGTGAGTTGCTGATCCATCGTAGATAAAAGGGACATATCCGTCAATAGAGCTAAAATCTAGGCAACAGGTGCCGGCAACATCCCTAAATTAACGTCCTACACTAGGATAAAGTTTCATTAGCGCCAGTATGATTTTTGTGTTATCTATACGAAGATGGTTGAAGAATCAGCAGTAGAGCTTTATGTTTGCCTCTAGAAGAATCTTGCCATGGTGTGGGCAACCGGGAGTGATAACCGCTCACAAACCTATAACAACACTCAAGGCCAATAAATTCATAATCGATCGCACTCTTCAATTCCTATTATTCATTTTCCCTTCACTACCAACTCCAAACTTCCTGCTTCGACTTGCTCCTCAAGTGTCACTATGGCCAACGATTCTAGTGCGCGAAATACTGTCCCAAGTCTATTGACACCGCGCTCGAAACGACACATTCGAGTCTTCAACGTACGCACCCTATGTCAAATCGGCCAGCAGACTTCCTTGGCTAAAACCCTAGAATCTCGTACCATTGATGTTTGCTGTGTCTCTGAAACATGCATAAAGGATCCTAGTGTGGTCATTCACTTGACCTCACCTCACCAAAACGGGCAGCCGACGAGATATACCCTCCGTTTACCTGGTGACCCGATGACTAGTTCTCATGGACTGGCGGGTATAGGCATAGCACTGAGTACGAGGGTAGAACAAACACTATTAAAATGGATCCGCGTTAACAGTCGACTATATGCTGTCTGACCAAACGACTCCGTAAGAACACGTTGTTACCTTTTCGTGATTTATACCAACGCTCCCACTGACTGAAGCCCGGATGGAGTGAGAAATAACTTTTACAGAAATCTCTCTGGAGTTCCTTAAGAAGCTAAACACTCGGACATAATACTTGTAGCAGGTGAATTTAATGCCCAAGTAGGTAGCTCAAACAGAACAGAAAGACATTTAGGTGGGCATTTTGGTATTCCGGCTCAGAGAACAGATAACAGTGATCGTCTGCTGCAACTGTGCCCAGACAATCGTTTATTTTTAACAAGCATTAGTTTTAAACACAAGGAGGGACATCGTCTAAAATGGCGGTCGCCTGCACCAAACCAACAATGGACTCAACTAGACCATATTGCCATCAGTCATCGTTGTTGAGGTTCGAAAGAAGACTACTGCTCGTTCTGGAATACATGCTTGGACTCCGATCATGTTCTAATACAAGCACGTATTTGCTTGTGCTTCACTGGACACGGTAAAGCCACATTAAGAAGACTCATTCTAGTTAAACTCAGTGACGAGGAAGTCAAAAGTAGATTCCAGGAACAACTTAGGCAATTCCGAAAACGAGGCCGACCCGGATGTTGCTTAGCAAGATATACAAACAGCAGTGACATCTACTAGTGATTTGAAACAAAGGACCACGAATAACCAGTGCATTTGTGCTACATCTTTTGCACTGCTAGACTCTCGTAAACTTATCCCATCAGGCTCCAAACACGATGATGAGCGAAAACAAATCAAATCTAGGTTAGCCCAAAGTCTATGGAACGATCGTGAGCAGTGGTGGGCAACGAAAGCAAAACAGATGGAAATGGCAGCGACTGTAGGTAACACCAGGCAGCTTTCCAGACTAATAAAAGAAACCGAAATTGAGAAGTCAAGTGTAAGACAATCTCTAAAAAAGACAACATCCTATTCTGCTCGCAGTACAGAGGTTTAGAACGATGGAGGAAACGCTTTAAGGAGAAGTTGGGCTTGCCTCCAACTATTTCACAGCTACCTACCATTTTTAAACATCCTGAACGGAACATTGAAATAGGCCCTTGACTCTAATTGAAGTTCAAAAAGCTGTAGCTAGTCTGAAACGAGGAAGAGCAGATGGATTGGCTCAAGAGGTCTTTAAGTAAGGTGGTCCAATTTTAGCGATTAGGTTGATTAATATTTTAGCTAAAATCTGGGAGTTGGATATAATCCCATCTGACTGATCGCAATCACTGATTGTCCCTATATATAAGAAGGAGTCAAAATCATCCTGTGATAACCATGGAGGGACTAGTTCAACTAATATAGCATGTAAAATACCAGCCTCAATTGTTGTCGGACGCCTAACTAAGACTCGTGAACTGCAAACACGAGGAAATCAGGCTGACTTCAAACCTGGTCGTGGCTGCATCGACCACATATTCACCATTCGCCAGATCTTAGAACACAGACATGCTTATCGGCGTCCGACAATGAAAGTTTATCTTGACTTAAAAGCAGCATTTGACTCTGTAGACCGAGAGGTTCTGTGTCAGTGTCTGTCATTGAAAAGCGTTCCTCAGAAGTACATAAACCTTGTGAAGGCTCTTTACTCGAACACCACCAGTCGGGTCAGTGCTTATGGAAAGTTTTCATCTGATTTTTCAACCTCAAGTGTTGTCCGTCAAGGCAGTCCACTATCTCCATTTCTGTTCAATTTCATCATAGACCTAATACTGGAAATAACGTTCTCGTTGACTTAATTTTTGGGGATATTGACCTCCTACGAGGAGGGCTACTTATTGACTTAGAATACACAAATGACATAGTGCTGTTTGGTGAAGACGTGGATAAAATGCAGAGTATTTTGGTAGCACTGAGCAACAATGTCAGGATGTTTGGGATGTGTTTCTCCCCCTCTAAATGCAAGTTGTTGCTTCAGCGCTGACTTGGGTCAACACCTGAACTGTGGATAGGGAGTGAAGTTGTCGACGTGTTCGACTACTTCACTTATCTTGGAAATCTGATCAGCCCTAATGGGTTGGTGTCAGACGAAATGTGATCACAGATTCAAAATGGTCGTTTAGCTTATGTCGTCTCAGAGAATTCCACGTCGTGCATTATTTGTCGACGCTAGGACTGGTTGGAAAAAGCGGAGAGATGGCCAGTGTATGACATCGTGTCGGGATATGAAAGAAAGCTGCAAAGGACTGGCTTCTGTTGGTCCTTCTCGACTGCCTCGCTGGGGTCCGAGAGATGGTGTAACACAGTGGCTAGAGAAGTTATGAGATATGGCCCATAATAGAAGCCAGTGGCGATCCTGCTGTAATCTACTCTTGCTTTCTTCATAAAAAGTGGATGTAACTTCCTTAACTGATAGGATTCTTCTGGTTGTACCTTTCCGTTTACCCATTATTATTTTTATTACACTACCTTATACTAATCTGGTCGTTATTGTTCTTTTTTTTTCTTTTACGCTCCCTACCTTCTTTTTTTCTTTCCATTCTCATTGTTATGTGTGGCGCATACATATTTGGTGCCCTCTGGTACCAATACTTGTGTTCAAATAAAGTTTGGCTTATGCCAACTTACGTCACCTATGGCGAAGGCAAGATATCCGTCTATCAATAAAAGGACGAGTATGCAGCGCAGCAGTTGGTTCTGTTTTATTTTGTGGCTGCGAGACGTGGCCATTAGGGATAGAGGATACTCGTGAGTTACTAGTATTTGATTCCAGATGTCTTAGAAAGATTTCCAGCACTGCTGGGATCACCGGGTAATAGTGAGTAATAATGATGTTAGACTCAGGGTATCAGGGGATGATGGTAAATCAGTTGATGAGTTTGTGAATCTTCATCGACTGGAGTGGTTGCGCTACGTATTACGCATGCCTAACCACCGACTGTCACGGTGCACAACGGTGACAAGTGTTGGAGAAGGTTGGAAGAAAGTTAGGGGTGACCAAATCAAAACGTAGCATCAGTTCTTGGAGTCACTAACTTCTGGTCTGAGCCATGTTGGTATATGCAGACTACTTGGTCGGGGTCCGTGTGACTATCGTAACCAATGGTTGGAGACTGTGGGTGACGTGGCTTAGAATCGATCACAGTTGGGTGGGTGTATAAACTCTCTGCCTTCCCTTAATATATTATTATCACTGAAATAACTACTTCTATGAATTTGGTGATTATCTTGTTGTGCTAATAAGGCGTGGCAACTTTGACCGATGCATATATGTGCCTGGTCCTACGTTGTAGCTGACTGACTGAGTTACCTCAGACATTTACAGGTACGGGCTTCTAATTCGTTTTGTATATTTTATGGAAATCGTAACAGGACTAATATCATTAGTACGAAATGAATTTCACAAATTTCTTACGAGACAATCATGTGGGAGCCAAATGTGTGACTGTAGTAATATCAATTACTTTATATTTATTTATACTGCCTGTACGTTTCCACACATGACCTTGTTAACCACTTTCCACTAATGCTAAAATGATTATTTATACTAACATTTTGTGGAAGTACATTTCCTATAAACTCCGCCTGAAGCTCTTATAGGGTTGCTGCCGGTCCCAAGCCCGGGTAAAGGAGGAGGGTTGGGCATGCGGTTAGCGTCCCCATCCCGTAGAAAACTAACTCGCTAAAAAAACGCTTACCAGAAAAAATAATCCAAACCATTTTAACTCTATCCTGGGAGTTAGAAGGTCTTCATTTAGAAGAATTATGACGCTTCATGGTGAAAGCCGAGTTCCTTCGGAAGCCACGAGGCCGATGCCCCTTCTAACAACCAGAGCAAAAATTTTTATAGGTACATGGAACGTTCGAACAATGTGGGAGACCGGGAAGACCAGTCAAATAGCAATGGAAATGAGGAGATACAACTTAGCAGTACTGGGAATCAGCGAAACCCACTGGACCCAAACTGGACAGAAAAGGCTAGCTACGGGAGAGATGCTGCTATACTCCGGTCACGAAGAGGACAATGCTCCACACACTCAGGGAGTCGCTCTTATGCTGTCCAAAGTAGCACGAAATGCACTTGTATGATGGGAATCTCACGGATCCAGAATCATCAAAGCATCATTCAAAACAAAGAAGGAGGGGATTACAATGAATATTATCCAATGTTATGCACCCACCAATGATAGCAACGACGAAATTAAAGATCAGTTCTACGAGCGGCTGCAGTCAATCATTGAGAAATGCCCAAGAAAGGACCTAACTATTCTGATGGGAGATCTAAATGCCAAAGTCGGAATAGACAACACTGGATATGAAGATATTATGGGACGACATGGACTGGGAGAAAGAAACGAAAATGGAGAAAGATTTGCAAATCTGTGTGCATTCAACAAATTGGTCATAGGAGGCACAATATTTCCACACAAGCGTATACACAAGGCTACATGGATCTCACCGGACCACACTACAGAGAACCAAATAGATCATATTTGCATCAACAAAAAATTCCGAAGGACAATGGAAGATGTGAGAACCAGGAGAGGTGCTGACGTAGCTTCAGACCACCACCTAGTTGTAGCCAATTTGAAACTGAAGCTAAAAAAGAACTGGACAAGTGGACAAACAACAATACAAAGGTTCAATACAGCCTTCCTTCGAGATACTGTCAAACTCAATGAATTCAAGATAGCTCTCAACAACAGGTTCCAAGCCTTACAAGATCTACTGAAAGAAGAAGAAACTACTATGGAGGACAACTGGAAAGGCATCAAGGAAGCATTAACTTCAACGTGTCAAGAGGTTCTGGGTCTAAAGAAATACCATCATAAGGAATGGATCTCTACAGAAACATTGGACAAGATCAAAGAAAGGAAGAACAAGAAGGCAGCAATTAACAATAGCCGAACACGAGCAGAGAAAGTCCAAGCACAAGCTGAATACATAGAAGCAAACAAACAAGTGAAGAGGAGCATTAGAGCCGACAAGAAGAAATACGTGGAAGAACTAGCAACGACGGCAGAAAAAGCTGCTAGAGAAGGAAATATGAAACAGCTTTACGATACAACGAAGAAACTATCAGGGAAATACAGTAAACCAGAGAGGCCGGTCAAAGACAAAGAAGGCAAGCCAATCACCGAAATTCAACAACAGCGTAACAGATGGGTAGAATACTTCGAAGAGCTCCTGAATAGGCCGGCTCCAATGAATCCACCGGACATCGAAGCAGCACACATAGATCTTCCTATAGATGTCAATCCACCAACTACGGAAGAAATTAGAATGGCCGTCAGACAAATCAAGACCGGGAAAGCAGCGGGACCCGACAACATACCAGCTGAAGCACTGAAATCAGACATCGAAGCAACCACAAGCATGCTTTATCTTCTATTCAAAAAGATTTGGGAGGAGGAACAAGTGCCGATGGACTGGAAAGAAGGACACCTCGTCAAGATTCCAAAGAAAGGAGATCTGAGCAAATGTGAAAACTACAGAGGCATAACACTACTGTCAATACCAGGGAAAGTCTTCAACAGATTGTTGCTGAACCGGATGAAGGATGCAGTAGACGCCCAACTTCGAGATCAACAAGCTGGATTCCGTAAGGATCGGTCGTGCACAGATCAAATTGCAACACTACGGACCATCGTCGAACAATCAGTTGAGTGGAACTCATCACTATACATCAACTTCATTGATTATGAAAAGGCATTCGACAGTGTAGATAGGAGGACATTATGGAAACTTCTTCGACACTACGGAGTTCCTCAGAAGATTGTCAATATTATCCGGAACTCATACGACGGACTACAGTGCAAAGTAGTGCATGGAGAACAGCTGACAGATGCGTTCCAAGTAAGGACCGGAGTCAGACAAGGCTGTTTACTCTCTCCCTTCCTCTTTCTTCTGGTGGTCGACTGGATTATGAAGACCTCAACATCTGAAGCAAAACACGGAATACAATGGACAGCTCAGAACCAATTAGAAGATTTGGACTTCGCAGATGACCTAGCCCTCCTATCACGTACACACGAACAGATGCAGATGAAGACAGCCAGTGTAGCAGCAGTCTCTGCATCAGTAGGCCTCAGCATACACAAAGGGAAAACTAAGGTCCTCAAATTCAAAGCGGAGAACAGCAATCCAATCACACTTGATGGCGAAACTCTGGAAGATGTAGAATCCTTCACATATCTGGGAAGCATCATCGATGAACAAGGAGGATCCGATGCAGACGTAAAGGCGAGGATCGGCAAAGCAAGGGCCGCATTCCTACAATTGAAGAACATATGGAACTCAAAACAACTTTCAACCAATATCAAAGTCAGAATCTTCAATACGAACGTCAAGGCAGTTCTACTGTATGGAGCTGAAACTTGGAGAACTACAACAACCACAATCAAGAAAGTACAAGTATTTATAAATAACTGTCTATGCAAGATACTCAACATCCATTGGCCGGATACCATCAGCAACAGCCTTCTGTGGGAGAGAACAAACCAACTTCCAGCTGAAGAAGAAATTAGGAAAAAACGATGGAAATGGATAGGACATACATTACGCAAATCGTCGAACTGCATCACGAGGCAAGCCCTAACTTGGAATCCTGAAGGGAAGCGAAAAAGAGGAAGGCCAAAGAACACATTGCGTCGGATAATAGAAGCAGATATGAAAAGGATGAATTACAACTGGACGGAGCTAGAAAGGATTGCCCAGGACAGGGTTGGATGGAGAATGCTGGTGAGCGGCCTATGCTCCTTCACGAGGAGTAACAGGCGTAAGTAGTAGTAGTAGTAGTAGTACATTTCCTATACATGCATGTGTCTGCATGTATATTTATTGCACTATGCATAGACTCTATAAATGTAGACAAAATAATTTAATTATTTAGTGTGTAACCAACCCCAACTATTTATCTATTCAGGCTCGTATGTCTGCTACTCATATGCATACTAGGGATATACGTACCCTTCATAGATTTCGTATACTAACTTTTGGAAACGGCGTTATAGTGAATGAAATCCAGTCCAGTAATATACACGAAATTAATCTTGGGATATATGTAAATAACGAACGCTGAATAATCGAACTAATAGTCAGATAAGACTGTTAAAACTCATTCCACTAGCTATTACATTGCTACTAGTCACACTACGGTAGTAGTCATATTACTATAAAAATAACCTTAGTATAAGAAAAATCGTAGTAGCACCCGTCCCTATTAACACACTTCGACTGCATGTGGCAGACAATACTAAACACTACGTTAACAGGTGACACGTAAATATGAAAAAGTAATTATCATGTAGAAACACCTAAATCATTTGATCGCTAACGTATCCAAATTATTCAGTTAATATTAACAACATAATGACATGACAAAAATCATACCGAATTCCCGATAAATCCTCCGACAGTTTTTTAAATACTAAATAACGGGAAACCCGAAGATAGAACTTTTGAACACCACATATGTCACATACTTATAACAAGGTATTTTAACCATCAACTTATGAATGGTTAAGGATGCAAACAATCACACGACTTCGCTAATGTTTTACGCAAAAAGAAAATTTTTTTGTCGTTTATCAAGATCATGAGGAATCTACAGCGATAAAATTTATTTATTTATTTAAACACATAAACATTGGTACAATGATGCACCAAATAAATCATTCGATCTGTGTAATGGTTGGGATACTGCCCGGATGCCCAAACCGAAACAGGTTTTCTTAAGAGGCTACACACTCGCAGCCTTTGACTCAAAGGTTCGAAACACTAAGTAGTGGAGCAATGTCAGGAGATGTAGTTTCATGGTAGCCGGTGATCAACATAAGGCTCATACGCCACTTGTTTTTTAGGACACTGGAGCCCATGTGCACCAATGGTTTGGAATTAGGGTTTTCCAACTCCCCTAGGTAGACCCTCTGTGTCCACCAATCCGGTTAAAGCGCCGGATATTCGCCTTTCGTCCTCTCAATTTCGTAAACAACACCCTCGCCGTGAGAAGTCAGTGAGTAGAACTTCTCTGGCAGTGGTTGTATGCACATGGCCATGTGAGAGCATCTCGAGACGGAGAGCTGACTCTCCCCACTATCGGCCGTATCAGGGCATTTCGGGGCGATGAAATGGAAACACTTCATTCCCTAGAATGGAACTAAGATAATAAAAATATAGCGATGAAGCATATGAACCTAATGAAAAGTTATGTAGAAAGGAAAGAAAGCAGCAGAGATGAATGAGGGGTAGATCTATGCTATAGCTGTAATTTTAGGCATAGAATGTGAAAATAATCAGTCCTTTGAACGTTGACAATTTCTACAACACTAACAAGCAATCAAAATGAAGAAATCACTTTTTATCAAAATAGTCTCTATTTGTGAAGATGCAATGAAATACTCAAAAAAATGTACAATTCATTAATGAAACTAATCGTTGTCTAGTGCATGGAGTTGTTTGACCCAAGACAAAAGTAACTGACTGAGCGACGTATTTTCATCATGATAAACGCTGTTTAGTCCGGAAGAATTTGTTTCTGAGAGTTCTTGACTGACTGTGCCCTGCAGAATAGGGACCTCAAGACACAAGATAGAATTAAGGTCGTTCCGACACTTTATTTTTAATTGCCTATAAAAATGAGTATTTTTATACATATCTCCAACCATTTGACTTAGAAGTGATGAAATTTCCGTCATACATAATCTGCGTAAAATAGACTTAGTAGCTGATTTGCTTGAATTATTCTCGGATGTCTCATTAAAATTTAAGAGCGAACGTACATTAGGAATGAACTGCGAATCAGCATCACATTTTACTGGAGCCTCTGAAGATGAAGTCTTACACGACGGTATATCATAAGTCATGCTATGGGGGTTATGATTACGGTCACAATAATTTTCTTCTTTAAAATAATTTCCTTGATGATTAAGAATAGAATGGTTGGCATCTTGATGTCCGTCGACTGATTTAGGGGCATATAGGTTTCCTTTTTCTAACATTTTCAAATGCTTTTTACCAGTCTCATGCCGAATTAAATCAAAAGGACTCATGTAGGTTTGACAAACATCGCAAAAAGCCTTATTAATAGGTTTTTTATTGAGTGGCGCCTTAACATTACACACTTTATCAGATGAGGATGGTTTTAACAAAACATTGGAAGGCTGATTTGTAGATGGTTTGCCCGAGTGATTGCTTATTTTAGACAGACTTTCAACAGATTTTTGGATGTTATTTTTGTCATTACTGAAATTAGCAGTTGAAGTTCTACACGGATTGTGACAGTCTTCCTCGTAGACATGTTTCCAATAGGCATCCTGGTCACAAAAAATAATTTTGCAGACAAAACACTCAACAACATCTGACATGTTGAGTCAACCTAAAAGAGGATAGTGAAAAAAATAATGAGGGGGATCAAGATATGTGACTGATAATATGAATTCAGAATAAGAGCAAACTCTCATTACAGCTTAGCTACATAGGTTAAAAATGCTTGTAACCCATTCAACGAGTGAACACCAAGTTGATTTTAAGCCACATTGTTTTCGATGGTTAGTAAAACCACCCGGTTACTTGAATTGAAGTGGTTAGAATGGCGTTGGGACGAGTAACCTACTAGCTGAAAGTTAAGTGCTATGACCAAATCATTTCCATGAATGTGTTCAATTTAACACCGAGAAGAACTATGGCAATAACAGCAATTTTGAGCTACATTTGATGATGAGTCATATAATTTCCAGGACTCTACTCAAGGAACTGTTGGACAGTAAACTAACACTACGATCATTCACTTCAAGGTACTGCGTTGTAAACTATCTTTACAGGTAAGCTCCACTAAACACTATGCTGTTTGGACGCCACTGCAATAGCATAGTTCTCATACATAAGCAGTCAAAACCTGTGGGTGCAGTGAATTTATTAAGTACATATCTGAATACCAGCTATTCAATGTTGGGATTACTTGCATGGTGCCTATCGTGTGTAGGACGATGATATTATAGCTATATAATATTTTAAAAAAGAAATCTCATAATAGTATAGCAGAAGCAATGTTTATCAAACGTCACTGCGGAGAACGTGTGAAAGCTGAAGCCAGAAGAGGGTTGAGGGTGAAAACAGAACGAGCACCAGGAAGTGAGATTTGATCCTGGAAATGATTAGCTCGAGTGTTCCTGGACGTGGAACAAAACTCCGAAATAACAAATAGATACTTTTTGATCAATTAATTCTCACTGGGACTGACTATTTAAGCATAACACACAGAGTCTTAGTGAAGACCCATTATGGTTTGATACATTAATTAGTCAACTTAGCTTTCAAAATTACATGGCTTTGAAACATATAACTGGCATACTTTAAACGGACAAACAACTTCGTTACAGTATTGGGCAGCCACCTGAGGTGAGGGTTCAAAATCTTACTTAAAAATGTCTTTGAGCTGATATCAATCAGTGTAAAAGTTATACACAGCGTCCATGAGCATCATTCAATATGTTTGCGAGCCGGAATACTGCCCGGGTGCCCAAACGAAGATGTTTTTTGAGTCACTCTTCGAGCCTTTACATGAAGGTTTAATCCACAAAGCAGTGGAGCAATGTAAGGAGATGCAGTTTCATGATAGCCGGTGACCATCAACAGGTCCCTTCAGGATACTGAAGTCCATGTGCACTATTAGTTTGGAATTAGGATTTTTCAACTCCCCTATGTGGACTTTCCGTGTCCGCCAACCCTGTTAAAGCGCCGGACATTCACTTTTCGTCTTCTCAACTTCGTAAACAACACTACCGTCACGAGTAGGACTTCCGTGGGTGTGGCTGTATACGTGTGGCCATGTGCGAGTATTTTGCGAGGAAGAGCTGACTCTCCCTTCCCTCTGCCGAACCAGAGCGTTTGGGGGAAACAATAATTTAGAACTATTAATTACTTCTTTAATCTAGGAATAAATTTAAACAAGTTGGTTTGATCATTGTTCGAAAGAAGGACAAAATATTTTTGTTATTCTTAATAATAAACAATTCAACTTGAATGCTTTTACGAGTTTAACATTCGTAATGAAGATCGAACTCTATTGTCCTACTTAAACTATAGTCAGTTGGCTAATAGATCAGATATTACAGTAAATGTGGTTCTAATATTTGAAGCAAATTTATAGAAGCACCAATTAAAAGACATACACAACTTGAAAAGCATTCGAAATTTCTAAGGGACTGATGGTCCTGTTACACCTATCGTTATTATCGAAAATATTACTTGGAAGACAGATATTCTTATGTACTCTATCTTTAGACTTTATTATAAAAGATGAATACCATCTTATAGGTAATTCTTAACGTTAACCGACTATAATAGAAAAGATGCAAACCACAAACCATGCAATACATTGTTTATTACTTTTTAAATAAATGAATAGGAAAGGGAACATATTCTTACATTCCACACTTCATAGAGATTTCCCTACTAGTGTTAATTAACGAATATAGTTATACTTTAATCATGTTCATTTCTTAAACTCCGTGGTGAATAATATTAAGTCGGGTTGACAGTAAACACTTAAACACACATAAACATATTGGTGACCATATATATGGGAAATATTGATCTTTATGTTAATTAACTGTTTAAGTAATCTGAACAACTTGACAAAATTTCATGTTATTTCCAACGAGAGTATGAAGATGTCGACAGCAATAATTTAAATTGGACGTCCGAATACACGGGAGTTTAGTAACCAAAGATGAACTCATAAATACAACTTTGCGAGACTCTAATTTAGGGACGAGCCAATGAGAAGCGTTTGAGCAATTTCAATTATTAGCCAGTCAGAAGACAGTATAAAGTAAAAATATATTACAAGAAAGTAATGAATTACAGTGGATATTCTTCTTTTACATGATTAAAAAACTTGTTAAGGTTTGATAAAGGCTCAGAAGTTCTGAATTCATAATGCGTACGGTATAGGGAGGCTACAACCATAACCCTGACCCCAACCGTAACCCTAAACCCTAACCCTAATCTCTAAAATCCGTTGTAAACCGATCTCATGTTAGCACCCTAACCCTAACCTTAACCATAAACCCTAACACTAAACTCTAACCTAACCCTATGGACGAGTTTCTATACCATATGCATTATAAATTCAGAACCTCTGAACCTTTATCAAACCTAAACAAATTTTAAAATATCCACTGTAATTCATTACTTACTTATATTTCCACTTTATACTATCTTCTGATTGACTAATAATTTTCAAGGTCATTTAAAATTCGTTAAAAGGTCATCCCTAGAGTCTCGCCTACAACTTTATATAAGTAACGCTTGGTGGGGAATAAAAACTTTACTGATCAGAAAAATTTTGTGTAGATAAAGTTGATAAATGTAATAACAAAATTACTATACCAAATAATTAGTTGGGAATGTTTTTTTCTGGACAATAAAAACTCTAAATTTTACTAAGTGTTTCTCAAAAACATTTGGAATTATCCGTAAAACATCGCTAAAATTTTCAATTACCTCTGTATAAATTTGGAAGTATGTGGTATGCAACTGTTAATATATTCACCTATGAGTTTGCGTCCAGTTGACAGTATTTTTTTCTCAAAAGACATAAACAGGAAAGTCTGGTAGGAATATTCCGTCTCTTAGTGAGAAAATCGGGAAGAGAATAAACCCCAAACAACCAATAAAGCGGAAATAAAGGTGAACAAAGGGGACGGAAGCGTAAAT